CCCCCTAATATAAAATATTAAAATTAATTGAGGCACCGAAGCATTATATTTTATATTATAACACATATATTATTGATATGACAAAAAATTATCACTATCTTAACTTTTAAAAAGTGAAATGTAAATAAGTGAACATTTTAGATATGGGTGGAAATTCGGAGGAATAAAGCGGTATGTACGCAAATCTTCCAAATTAATTTTAATATTCAATAAAATTATTATGATATAAACATGTATTTGTCTCCCTGATGGTTTTATCATTCAAACAAATGAACTCCTTGCCACACCCCAACTAAAAAAATAAAACTTACCATAACCACACAGATGCTTAATTAATCTAAAATTTAGCTATGGCTACTACAAAATTGATATGACCTCATTTTGGCCTAAGACCATAAGAAAACAAATTCACTATGAAACTATTTTGCATGCAATGTTAAGCTGTTTCAACTTTTATTAACGTTAAATCATATCATCGTGCTTAGATTAAATCTGTCTAATATTTCATATTCCGCTGAACTACTATGTAATTTTAGTTAAAATAGAATTATGATAAGATGCACGTAAAAAATCATTACTAATACACTTTCACATTATCACCATTTTCACAGACCTTTTCTTCAGAACTAATAACATCAATGTCCATGCAAACCTTTACATCCGCACTTCCAAAAATTACAACCCTAGCTTCAGAAAATTCAGGGGGAGGTTGTCCACTTGACATAACAGAATCGTTTAATCCATTAGCATCATTAAAACTATCATCCACGGATGAAGCTATCCCAATCATTTTATCACCAATACTACAGTTTTCTGTGCCCACAACAAAAGTTGAAGGCTTCTCTGAAACATCAGTATTTATTTCATGAGCATTAGAGAAGTTCCTACCGCATTTGTCCGAGCATTCCATGCAGCTTTCATCGGCTTTCTTCATTTTCTCAGCAACAGTGTTTTCATTGACATCAGTAACAGGACTAGAAAGTGCATTGTTGATTGCATTTTCATCAATGTTATCATCTACTAACATGTCATCTCTTGCCAGTAACTGATCAAAAACACGAGAATCCTCAGCAGCCATAAAATCAGCTGAAGATTTCTCAGTAGGCTGAATTAAGGCTCCAGCAATGTTATTTCCATCTCTTGTACTTTGCAAAACCTCAGAATTATTTTGAGGAGCTCCTTGATTCTCATCCAACACTTTGGCAACTATTTCCTCTTGCAAAGGGCTTGATTTATCAGTGTTGGAACTGCAAAATTGCTGGACAAACAGTGTAGTCAACTGAGCCTGAACAGATGCAGCCATAGAAATGGCATGATCACGCATCAGAGAATTGTGTGGGGGGCATTGAAGTACATTCATCAAAGTTCTCTTGTATTCGAACATGCTAGTTGAGAGCGAGTGAGAGATTTTGCCCCGATAAAACATACTTGATTTGATCACATGCTCACAGAGGTTCCCCGTCTTCGACCAACTGCAGTCACATATTGCAAATTCAGAACCTGGATTCAGGATAACACGGGCAGTTCCTGGATTTTCATGATGAGCAACTCTAGCAGAGTTGTCATCAAAAATAACATCTGAATCAAGGATCTCCGAAGCACGGCGCCAAGCAGTTAAACCACATTTCCACTCATCTTTCCAGTACCTGGCAAAGTTATCCTTACCACTATATGAATCCAACCAGTAATAAGAATGCACCTTGGTTCCTAATTTATCAAACAGCCAATCAGCACGTTGGTAAAGATTTGAATCTTTCTCATTCAGCAATCGAAGTTTGAGCTGATTATGGTAGCACTCAATGGCTGAAGAAACCTCTGTGCTAGCAAGCGGAAGTGCTTTCAATATATTAATCCAGGCTCCTGTACAATAAAGAAAACAGGTGTAACGAGCTAAGGGAAATAAGGCTGATGAAAAACATATTCAATACTATGGTAATTGCAATTGTAAATGCAAGGTTCAATTATCCACTGCTAAGGTGGTTGTAATGGGTTCAAAAAATACGGACAGTCCTTGAGAAAGATCAAAGAATTGATCCCATCGGCCAATGTGAATTGTATGACTAAAATATGGGCAATTGAACCATACAACTACCATGCTATTTGAGAGGATCTGATGTAATAATATATCATATAGATCAGGAGTTCAGGGAGAGAGAGAGAGAGGATAGAGGAACAAAGGTTGAGAAAAACAAGAAATTACCTAATTTTGAAAACCAAACCCCTTTAAAATAATCTAAGAAGTCCAAGCAATCAACAAAGTCTTCAATGAAATCATGGAAGGCATCCAAGGAAGCGAAACCCCTGCAAATGTTTGAAACTATCTCTCCAAGTCTCCTTGACACCTCCACTTGCATTCCTGTGTCTGAGCACTTGTTCATCAAATTTTTATGCCAGGAATGGCGTACACGCCAAAAACTAATCAAAATTGAACACTGAAAGACTTCCCTGAATTATATAAAGTGAAGTTGACAATTATTCGGAGCATAATTGTAGCAAACAAACAAACAAATAAAAGAAAGGAAAAAATTTACATAAAGTCCACCTGATGACATTCAAATCAGCTAAAGGATCATCAACAATAAAACCACCCAATTTCCATGTTGGATCTTTTGAATGAATCCTGTCAAAAAGGGCCCGCATCCATCGGTGTATCTCACCGTTGGCAAATCTTGGTGTTATAATCCATGCTACAGGGAGTGCATTCCTTTTTGAGTCGAAGACCAGGAGACTATAAATGGGATACTGAAAATAGAACAAAGATGATCAGATATCAATAAACAGACAACTAAAATGTAGCAGTAAGCATGCGACCCCAACAGACCTTTAATTTATTTGTGCCAAACCTTGAATCAGAGGCTATAACACTGCGGTTGCCAAACTGAATCATTTGTTGGAGTTGCCAATCCGTTTGAATCCCCAAAACAAAGGGTTCAGTTTCAGAGAAGTCCTCATAAAAGAACACATGATCCCGGTGCATTTCAATCCACATGTTAGTGCTAATATCATCATCGGAGTCTAATTCATATGTGGAACGCCTAATCTTCCTTTCTAGCCTGCGCACATATCTGTGAGTGAGAAGATCATCCCTATTGCTTGGTCCCCCCTGCTTCTCCACGGCTTCAGTGTGCCTCTGCATGATAGTTTCCACTGGAACACCAACATACAACAAGGACATAATTTGAAGGCGGAGCTCATCTGAGATGCATGGTGCAAACATTGCATAGGTTCCCACGGCTTTTGAATCCTGGAGACCATGGCAAGGAAGCCCTTTCTTGTCCACATGCTTATCTTGATTGTATATGATAAGTGCAACTGATGGTTCAGCTATTAGGCGCTTCACAATGAAATGGCAGACACAACCCCTCTTCGTGTTCGGCCTGCCAGCAGGAGTCTTTCTCTTTATGCAATAGGTTCGGCTGGGGCGAACGACACCTCCCTTCCTATGATCATCTGGACCAAAAGAGCACCAATACCTACATCCAACAAACCCAATCACAAAAAAATAATGATAATTAAGAGAAATACTCTTATCCAATTAAAATTAACCGCTCCTTCAAAAAACTACTGACATCACAGTTATGGTTGGACGACAAAAACTAAGGCAATAACCACTTATATCTGCATAGTTATCATTACTGCTACTTGGTTAAAAAGTAGCAAAGCTGCATCTGTACCAAGTTCAAAAACATCACATAGACACAAATAAGACTCGAATGAATTACTAGTTCAAGAAACCATGCAATGCAATTTTTTTGGAAGACCCTTACATAATATACTCGAGAATTCCATCAACCTTAAGTTTGTTAGCCATATCTGATGAACGTCGTCTCCTTGCTTCAACATGAAATCTGGTAGGACAATCCTTGTTGTTTGATTCACCTCTGACAAAATCATTCACTCTGGAGAATGGAATTAGAGCTAGTCTGTCCATGGTCTCTCGCCAGCCTTCCACTCTAGACCACACAATGTCAGCTGCAGAGAATTCCAGGTTTGGTGGACTCTGCACGGGAAGACTCAGAATTTCATCCCATCTAGCCATCTATATTTCAAGAGACAATGATTCATATATCAATCCCTGGTTGTCTTTTATCCATGGAAAATAAAACTGTAAGAAATTAATAAAAAGATGCAGAAAAAATTGAAGAGAAACGGAAAGAAATTATGTCTCTTCACTTCATAGGAAGGAAACTTTTAAGAGATAGCTACACAAACCCTGTTATCACATAAAAGTAAACATTTCAATGCAGAAAAGATCCAGTCATAACCTGAACTTACAGTGTGAAACAAAAAAGTTGCTACATATGTCATATTTTCTGCTGAGCAAGCATAAAGATTATGATATTTCCAATAATTGCATACATTTTCAAATAACCAATCAGGGAATTATCATATCAAAAACGAAAAACATGCCAACACCAAGAAAACAAAAATTTTAAATCAATCCAGAAGTTCTACATAAAAGCTAAGGGTGATAACATTCAAGCTCCCTAGACCCAGCCTTGCCTCAAATGATCATCATCCATATCATTAGCCTCATCGCAGATATTTTAGGTTCTCAAAATCATATGAAGCAGGTTTAAATATAAATCATAAACTTCCAAACAGCCAAGTTTAATTAATTTATATAATCATATAGTCAGACCAAAACCAACCAAAATCACATTTGGGCTTAAAGGCCGTTGGTGTGTATAGATGCATTCTTACAAAGAAAAATGTAAATTCAGAGTTGGCTCAGTTTTTTTTAAAGAAGGCCCCTTGGGTCCAAAATCTCAAATAAAGACCTTTGGTTTGTGGCTAAACTCAAAAATAAATTTATTTGATCCCATCTTACTGAAAGTTAGACTGATCAAAGCTTTGAATATTCTTGTCAACTCAAATGGAAGAAACAATCCCTAACAAGCCTTGTCAGAAATGATACATCTATAATCCTACACCAATAATAGGAATAAGCCAAAGAACATAACAAAGTTTTATTTGATTGTTGACACTGACTAGCGCAATCGTGCAAGTTATTAGAAATGAGCCTTGTAGAATAGACTTTCTTGTTTATCTTAGGTTTGGCTCTAGAGGAAGTGAAGCATAAAAGAAAATACAGTGATCCTGTTCACCTAACCCAAAAAGACAGATTACATTTTTATACTTCTACCAGGTCACAAATCCTTGATATTTATGAGATTACAATAGTACAATGGCATCAAATACCATTTTCCACACCACCAAACAGCTGATTGGGTGAATTCTAAGATTCACGTCTCAGTAAAAATGGAAAAAAAAAATATCCTTATGAAATACCATTTTAAAAAATGGCAGTTAAGTCTGATTGAACAACATTTCATGATTAAAAGGTCCTTAGAATAAACCACAACAGGAGAATAAACCCAAATATCAGCTAAAATCAGGAGCTGGAAACTCAGAAAACATAAGTCTCAGATATTACTTTCAAATACAGCAACTGATTCATCTTAAACTCATTTTCACTCCAAAGAAGAATAACTAAAGGAAGCAAATACCAACTGACAACTCTACTAAGTTAATTTACCCTTCACATAGGAATAACCAGGGGAAATTAGTTTATAGCTCTCCTCTCGCAAAAGCCAAAAAAAAGGGGAAATTAGTTTATAGCTCTCCTCTCGCAAAAGCCCAAAAAAACAAACAATTTTTTAGTCCAATTTGAAGTCTCCACTACCTAAATAAGAAAAATAAGCAGAGAAAAGACTTGCTACATGTCTTAAAGATTCCATCTATACTTTACTCACTGTAACCATTTTTCTCCCCTGTACCAAGAAGTTCTGACTTTTGAGACAAAGTTGGCCAAGGGGAAGAAACAATGAAAGATTTATTCATGAAGCAGAAAAAAAAAAGAGTTGGGAGGTTTTGGGCATTTGAGCTATCTCATCATAGGTGAGGTCTGATTAGCCATGATGACACCAACCCAATATACCTCAATCAGAGAGTTTAAACAGGTAATAGTTGAGGTAAAGAGAGAGAGAGAGAGTGTGTGCAAATATTATGTTTTGTATCCATTCTCTAGGAATATATCTTTCCCCTAGCCTGCATCCGGACATCTCTCCCCACAGTCTCCTCATGCTTGTAACTTGTTAAGTTCATGTTTGAGTGTATGCTAAGTGTGTGTACCTGTGTATCCCCCACCAAACACTCCCTTACGAGTCAACTATGGCGATGCAAAAGCGAACAATTCGATCAAATCAAATTCCACCAACACCACTCCTAACTTGCAAAATCAGGACTCAGTGTGTAAAGAATCAGTCTAACTAAATCAGCGCAAACGTACATCATTCATTTCGATTCATAATTTATTCATATTCATATACTTAGATGCATGAAAAATCATATCACCCAAATATATATATATCTATTCAGAGCTTTTAAATGCAACATAATAAAATACATATCCAAAATTCTTTACATTGTCCCAAAACAATGAAATGTAAAAGTTCTACAAGTCACACATGTCTACTCGCTCTGATGCTCACACATTCCCGAAAGTCAACAATATAGAGTGAGCTACAACAAGCTCAGTAAAATAATCAAGGCTAAAATAAGAGTTTATAAATAAAAAGAAACAATGTGCATGCGCATGTATAACTTATGTACATGTCCACAACACATATCACAACATGTTATGATCCTATAAAACATGTAAAAGAAAGCCATACAATACAGGGAATTATGGTTGTTGTACAAAACATATATTTCATCAATCCATATGTAATCATAAGCATATTCATAAGAGTAATTGACCTAATTATAGAAATGTCATTTATAGCTGTATATGGCTTAGCCATTTTCATGTTATATTGTGTCATTGCGTTACCCAACCTGTTGGCAACATTAACTATTGATAAAGGTTGCGTCTCTCCCAACATAGCAGTTATCAATAGTCCTCTAGTATCAATGACTTCCTACATTCCATCCACGTCTCATACCAACAGTTCTCAAGATTTGGTCTCCATTTGAATGCTAGGAGTCTGGAATCACATCATTCTCTATCATCCATACTTGCAAGTATCCATGCAATAATCTACTTATAACATGTGAAATTTCATAAATCATACTTCCTGCAACAAGCATTCATCATAGATATTTCATATATCATATGCAAGAATTATAATAAAGAAATACTTGCAAATATTGATTTCATAAACATATTCATCAGATTCAAAAAGAGTAGAAGGAGAAGTATGGAGAATACACATTATATGCTTAATGAAATATAAAATTTAGAATAGAGTACACATGATTGCATAAACCCGCCAACTCTCATAACCCCCTATTCATAGATAAGGATTGAAGTTTGAATAATATAATAACTATAATAGAATAAGCTATATATAAAAAATTATATAAAGCAGAACTCAATAGTTACTGACCATAAAATATAAGAGATAGGTAGCTTGGGAACTTGGACTTGCGCTCAGCCGACAAGTTCGGAGGAAGGTGCTGGTTTCTTTGGTGAAAGTTGTCACGTAGACCCTAATTTTGGGCAAAGATTATTGAGTTTGGTTGGTCCAATGAGTTCTCTATTTTTCTAGCAAATTCTTTACGCTCTTAATGATCTACTCTACTTTGAATCAAGGCTAGCAAGTCTGCCTTGATTTTGGAAAGTAGTCCCCTTAAAATTAAAATTTAGTTATTAAAATTTAGTCGTGTTTGAGTTTGGCTGGACAATTATATATAAAACTAGCCTAACAAATCGGTATTGTACTAAGCCAGTTAGTTTACCCTTATTAGAGGTTGTTTAGTAGCCTGATTTGAGCAGGATTTAATCAGGATTTAACTTAAGTTCTGCCAAACGGTTCAAATGAACATGTTTAATTCCAAAGAATCTTAACTCCTGCTTTACCACTTTATCGGAATAAATCTCGAATATACCAAATCCCATAAAATGGGGGGATTTTAGAACTGTTTGGTAGCCTGTTTGAAGAAGATTTATGCAGGATTTAAGCTAAATCCTGCCAAACAGCAAAAAAATGCCTCATTAAATCCTGAGCTCTCGTAAATCACAAAAATTACGCTGACTCGCCATAAATACGTAATTTACTAAATCCTGTGAATCGGCGGATTTAGTATATCCGGAACGAGCGAAGAGAAATAATGGCACGAAGAAGCTTACCTTCCTCAATGGTTTCTGGTAGGATTGTAGCTGAAGGATGAGAAAGATGGGAGTTTCGGTGGTCTCTGTAAGCCGCGATACCGTCGTAGTCTTCTCAGCTAGCTCTAATGGCTACTGTATCGCTAATGTTTGTTCACCAAGGGGATGGTTTCGGGCAAAACCGGTAGAGAAAGAGTGACATAAGCGAGGGTTTTGGACGAGATGGTGTGTTTGGGCGAAACTGGGAGAGAGAAAGATGAAGGCGAGGGTTTCGAGCAGAGAGGGGAAGAGGTAGATAGGTTAGAGGTTTTAATTTATTTATTTAAGCTGGTTTTATTAATTTAATTGGTTAATATTTAAAACTAATTTATATATTATCAGCTTAATTATAATTACTAAATTTATATGTAATTTTAATAGTTAATTAATAAATTAAATTATTTTAAAGTTTAAATTATTTTATAGAATTCTAAGTAATTCTTAATTTATAAAATTAATAATTGATTATTACTGAATTATTATTTAATAAATAATTAGTTTACACAATAAAAAATCTTAATTATTAAGTTACATAACTAATTATTAATTAATGTAAATGCTTTTTTTTATACAATTTGACATTTTGGATGCTCATTTGTATTTTTATTTATTTACTTTTTTTTCTTTGAATGTTTGATAAATCATGTTGTATTCGTTTAAAGCTGCAAAAACAGTTTTTTAGGATTTATGAGAATTTGCTTGGCTAACATACCAAAGAGTTTTCAAGATTTAATTGTCTCAAGATTTGATAAATTCAGATTCACAAGTTTTACTAAATCCTATTTAAACTAAATCTTACTTGTAACCAAACAACCCCTAAATATTGTGAAATGGTTTAAATGGACATGTTTGAATCTTAACTCTTATTTTACCTTTACCAAATCCAATTATTTGGGAGATATAGGGAATTTAGCGAAGAAATACATATGAAGGGAGAGAAGGTTGTGAAACCCGTTTGATGATTCACATGTATGTTTCTTGCTTTTTTCTCCTTGAGGATTTTGGACACGTAACTCAATATCTATTCTCCTTCATATGTCGTGACCCCAACGATTCCTTTCAAATAGATTCTCTTCAAGAAGACTCACTTTGTCGACTAGGGGTAACTAAATAACAAGATGAGGATGAAAGATCAATATGAAATAAATAAAATTACATATTAAATAAGTAAAATTAATAATAATATATATTGATTAGAATTATTAATAATGAATAAATTAAATTAGTCAGTAATATAACAAATTTAAAAAATTAAATCAGCTTTTCTAATTAACTTTACTAATAAATCTTACTTATTAGTATTAGCTTATTAATTTTTTTTTAATTTAATTCAATTTAATGATAATTAACTTTGCAAAAAATATAAAGGAATTAACACTTAAAATTTTGGCTGAGGAAATTAAATGCCATATAAATATTCTTCATATGTGCTTAAGTAGTTCTGAAATTAAATTAATACTAAGAGCAGATTTTAAAATTTTAAACTAGATTTGAATTTGAGCTCAAATTTACAGAACTACCACGTGAAATTTGTGGGATTTTTAAATAATAAAATCCAATGTAATTTTCCTTACATATTTAACTAATTATCCAAATTTGAAAAGTATATGAAAATAAGCATTAATGTAATGCTTAATCAAGACACATGAAGGGAGGTAAGGAAAATTTTTCCTTATTAAAAAATCATAGACATCAGATTTATTGGTAAAATTTTTATAAATCTTGTTAAAGTATTTTTTGTAGAGAGTTTAAAACATAACTTTGATATATATTACCCACTTAAGTGATATATGTTTAAAGTTTCATGCACCTCATTATATCATTTAAAAAAATGAATTTATTTAATGTATTAGGCATTGAAATAAAAATATGTATTTCACCAATTTAAATTCAAGTGATGTCAATTTAAACTTAGTTTTAAAAGCACCATTGAAGATAATTGGTTGTGACATACAAGTCTAAGTCATATCAACATGCACACACTCCATATGATTTCAAATATTGACTTATTGTTTTAGTTGCTAGCTTAGCTAAATTATATTTTTGTTCTCATTATATTTATAATGCTTATATTCATGGTAAGAGTTTTAAACATTTCTTTAAAAGTAGAAATATTAGAATTGCTTCATATATATTTAATTGGCTTTATTAGCTTTGATATTCTTTGTAAAAGGATTCATAGTTTAGTTTAATGGATGGTTATCCAAGATATACTTGGGTATTAATCTTATCAAATAAACTGGCATATGAAACTTTTACAAATTTTTCAAAGTATATGTTGTCGTCAAACCGTCGCTGCCTCCATCCTCAATTCTCCTCAATTGTAGAGTGTCGTTTGTTTGTTGGTATCGTCGTTGTCGAGGAGTCTCTATTCTATTTATCTATTATGTTGCCCTAATCTCCAAATAACTTATTCTCTCATATCACACAAAAGACTTTAAGATATTAAGAAACTTGAAAAAGAAGAAAAAGGGGCAAATGAAAATAAAAAACAAAAAAGTTTGAGAAGATAACTTATTCTCTCATATCACACAAAAGACTTTAAGAAATTAAGAAACTTGATAAAGAAGAAAAAGGGGCAAATGAAAATAGAAAACAAAAAAGTTTGAGAAGAATTTCACTTTGGCAAATATTGCAGAAAGAACTCGAGAGTGTTTGACTCTTAAGATTCTCATGCAAGGTAAACCACATGAAAAATATTGTAACCAAAATTAGGTATGATACCTATTATGAGTTTCTCATTCTCCTATAAGAGCAAGCTCCTATAGTTAATTACATCTTAAGCAGTTAAAACTGCTTAATGAAAATTACCGATTAAGGTTAATATTTGTTCTCTAAAAAGTTTTAAGTGTTGTGATCAAGGAGAGAAATGTCAATGTTCATTCTTAAAGGTGATATATTTCTCGGAATCCAGTACTACCCTAAAAGTCTTGTTTTGTTTTATTTTTATCATTTTGTTTAGCTTTTGTTGTTTTATTTTATTTTACTTTTTTTTGTCATTTTGTTTTGATGTTTCGTGTTGTTGTCTTGAGATCCACCATTCAAGCTTTAAAGTGTCGTCCCTGCAAAACAGAGTTAGCACACCCTAATAACACCTAAAGTAAATCTGAAGTGCAATTTGCCTTATGTTTTCAACAATCCTGCAAAATAAAGTTAGTATAAATTATGTCTTAACTTGTTGATTTAGTTAGTTGAATTTGCAATTTTTAGATGACTTGGTTAAGATGTCTATGACACCATCATCCCGGATCATTAATGTATTCAAATCTACTTAGTTTGAAAGGTAGTTAAATCAGGACCGGAATATTCTTGTCAGCAACCACAGATTTCGTCGTCCAAGAGATCTTCGTAGATGTGTTTGGTGATATTTGTTCATTAGTATTTCATTTAAGTTTTAGTATCTTTTTCAGATTTAGAGAGTTGAAAAATTTTAGGTTATTTATGATTTATTAGCCGATTAAGTTTTATCATTTTTTTTTGTTTGGGATGACCCAATTAGGATTGGCTTTGTCATCTCGGGTCATTAAGTTCACGGTTTTATTAATCATAAGTGACAGGAAGATATTTTATTAGCAACCATGGCATAACTCCTCCAAAATATCTTCTCAAAATAGTTTTCATTTTAGGGTTCAGGTTTAAGTTTTAGTGTCTTTTAAGGTTAATTTTTAGGTCATTTGTGTTTTATATTAATTCATGTTGAGTTGAACTAACTTAACATAAGGTTCCAAAGATTCAATTTGATTTGAGCCTATGGTTTAAGTTGACTAGGTTCAACTTGGGTTGAACCTAAGGTTTAGGTCTAATTTGGCTTGAGATTGAGGTGAAGGGCTTTTGTTTAAGGATTGGGGGTAAGCATAATTTGGTTAAGGCTTATGGTTCGTTTAAGCTTAATTTAATTGAAGCTTAGATTAAACCTAATATGTCTAATATGAATTAAACTTAATTATGGTTTAGGGTTACTTAAGCCTAATTTATGTAAGGCTTAAGAGTTTAATTAAATTTAATGTTGTTTAAACTTAATTAGGATTTAAGGTTATTTAAGCCTAATTTAAGTAAGAATTTAGAGATTAATTAAGTCTAATGTGGTTTACAATTAACCAGGATTTAAGGTTACTTAAGCCTAATTTGGATAAGGCTTAAAGGTTTATATAAGTCTAATTAAGGTTAGACCTAATAAATGTTTAACGGTTGATTAAGCCTAATGTAAGTAAGGCATAAAGGTTTAATTACAAATAATTAGGGTTAGACCTAATTAGGTTTTAAAGGTAAATTAAGCTTAGTGTAAGTAAGGCTTAAAGGCTTAATTAGGTCAAACCAGGGTCAGACCTAATGAGGGTTTAAAGGTTAATTAAGCCTAATGTATATAAGGCTTCAATGTTTAATTAAGCCTGATTAGGAACTGACCTAATTAGAGTTTAAAAGTTAATGAAGCCAAATTTAGGTAAGGCTTGAAGGTTTAATTAGGCATAATTAGGATTAGACCCAACTAGGGTTTAAAGGTTGATTAAGCTTAATTTAGGTAAGGCTTTCAGATTTAATTAGGTTTAATTAGGGTTAGACCTAATTACGGTTTAAGGGTCAAAAAGTATGTTTTCTCTTGTGTAAGGACAAGGTGAAAAAAGAATATGGAGCAAAAAGGAATGAAAATAAGTATAATGCAAGGATTTCAGACTAGTGCAGCTGCGCTGCCAAGACTGCGTGCCCGCTTTAACCCTGGCCTTACTGTGCCGTGTTCAACAGCTCTACGCAAAATTTAAAACACTTGGGCAGGACTCCAGGTGCCCGCATCTG